GACATTGCTGATCAGGTGGCTCTCCTCCGGATCCCGGAAGCTAATGCTGACCGGTTCCGGGAGGAACTAGCTGCTGTTGTAGCAGCCTTGGTCCGACTGCGGACCTTGGAAGACTTCGAGTCTCGTATGACAACACTTGAGCAGCGGAACGAAGAGCTGCAGGCTAAGGTAATTAGCCTTGAACAGTCCCAGCTGTCTGCCTCCCGCCCTCCTAACCCTCGATCTGCTGTAATCCGAGTCTCTCAGCCCAACACAACCCTCGTTCCAAGGGCCAGCGGAACTGCGGTAAGTGCAGGAACCGGAGGAAGCTCCTCAAGCGGCAGCACCGATTGTTCTGCACTGATCGCAGTCCCAAATGCAGGGACTTCAGCCCAAAACGCCACAGTCCTTACTGGCGTTCAGTATAGCGGTCCCATGGTGGACAAGCGGGCGGCCACACTGCCGTCCAAGTACGACGGGAAGGCTGACATCACCTCTTGGATTAGTTCCATGCGGTCATATTTCGAGGTCATGCGGACACCGCAAGAGGACCGAAGTATGATCATGGGAACTAATATCGAGCCTGCCGTACGAAACCACATTGAGCTCCAAGCTGTTGCTGCAGGCTATGCACGCATAGACCTGACTGATTGGCTGAAGGTCACCCCAGTTCGCACCCTTGAGGATTTCCTACTTGACCGGTATCAGGATAAACATGCTGCGTTCAAGGCTAGACTGAAGCTTGAGGCCCTCAAGGGCCAAACATGGAGGTCATCCATGCAAGCTTTGGAACAACACCTGACTGGTCTATTCACCACTCCGGATCTADGAATGACTGACGTGTCTTGCATGGATGTAGTCATGGGAGTGGCCCCTAAAGAATACCTCTCCCTGCTAGCACTCAAGGACCATGCTACCTGGCGAGAGCTCAKGAAGGACCTAGTCGACCTAGAGGCGAAGGACCTCGCCAGGCGCAAGAAGGCGCCTATTGCAGGTGGGAAACCACAACGCAAGCGGTTTGGAGGCAGCAACCAGCTTGCACTGCATGATCATCGGGAGGCTGACGATCAGTCCTATGCGGATGATCTGCCTCTAGATGACGATCTAGAGCCGGACTCCGATACGGGCTGTTCCACATCAGCCATTGAGTGTGACCGAAACGATGATGAAAAACTTAATGCATTTAGAAAGACTGCTTCAAATAAGGGGCCTAACCGTGGTTCGGGTAAGGGAGCTGTCTTACACCTTCCCAAAAATGCTAAGATCCCTGAGAAACCGGAGGACGCTTCTACCAAGCCTTGGGAAGCCCTCCGCATCAGCCAAAAAGAATGGGAAAGAAAGTCCAAACTGCGCGTATGCTTGCATTGTTCAAAGCCTGGGCATGCTGTGCAGGATTGCTATCGTCTTCAGGGAAACAGGCAAGGGGCGTAGAGGAGACATCAGCACTCTCTACAACAAGAGAAGTTGAGCAGTCAGTTGCAGGCCCCTCTGAGGAAGCCCAAACTAACGCTGATTCCAAGGCTGAGACAGTCCGAGTGTTATACACTGAGCCTTGGGAGGAGTCTAAAGAGGTCGACCTCCACGCCCACATGGAGCATTGGCTGCAGCTCAAGCAGCAACGCCGTGTCCAAGGGAGCGTGGAGCTGACTTTCTTTAAACTGCTCATTAACCGCCGATACATCCGCGTGCTGATTGACAGTGGTTCG